AACGAAGTGTAATATACTATATGTAGAAAAAAAACATGTAATGTTGACTTCAAACGAAAGAATTATGGGAGCTTAAAGAAGATGAACGATTCAATATGAATATACGACCGAGCTCAAACTGAAAACCTTCTCATACGAGCTAATAAAAATACAATTTAATTGTAAAACAGAAGACAAATAGAGCTGCAAGATAATAACGATGTAATGAATATTCCAAACAAGTTTATAAAAATGTAATGTGGATAATCAAACAAGTTCAATGGTAATATGCAGACAAAAAACTTACGGGGTTAAACTTGAACAAAACCTAAACTATGTGACATACACCAACTGTCATAATGAATCTAAACAAGTTCAATGAGGATATGTGGATTAAAGAAAACTTAAGAAACTAATTTTTTTTTTTTTTTGGACATGTTTTATCCTTTATGTAAACTTGTCGAAAAGTTGTAACGAAAATGTAAGTTAGAGAATACTTTATGGACCATTCACGCAATTCGCTTGAAGATATTTCTACCGACTCGCTCAAAGGGCAATTTCGACATTGCACCTCATCGTCTATGAAGAGAACCTAAACCCTCATCGATAACTAGGGTTTTAAACGCCCAGAACCCCAAAGACACTCGAAAATCGCTAAAAATGGCGACTCGCGTTCTCCTTCGCACCCTTCTCTCCTCTGCCAATCAAACCCTAATCCCTCGTTCATTCATTACCTCTGCTTATCTTCAACGTTTACGTCCTATTGTCACCATCGCCGCCGCTAATATCCGTCACTCCTCACTTGCAGCTACCAATACCCGTGCTTTCTCTACCCGACTCACCACATCTTCTCTGAATGATTCGAACCCTAACTGGTCAAATCGTCCCCCAAAGGAGACAATTCTTCTCGATGGCTGCGATTTTGAGCACTGGCTTGTCGTGGTGGAGAAACCCGAAGGCGAACCGACTAGAGATGAGATAATTGATTCGTATATCAATACCCTAGCCAAGGTTGTTGGCAGGTAAGAATGATTATAGTTTTTTCCCTATTTTTTATTAACCGAATCTGTTGTAAACTTGAAAACATTCGAAGGGAATCCGTTTAGTTTTAACACATGATTATAATTTTTTTATACAAATTGCACGATGGTTTTCTTTTTGATTATGACAAGGATCAAGGACATAACTTTAGATTATGTAGTAGTCAATAGTCACATCTGTTTTCGGATGTTTCTGTATTGGTTTGTGTGTGTTATTCTTTTAAACAACTGGTTGGAGTTATATGCTTCGATTAAACTCCATTTATTGTTTTTTTTAGTTACGATGAAGCAAGAATGAAGATCTACTCAGTTTCAACAAGATGCTATTATGCATTTGGAGCCCTGGTGTCTGAAGAAGTTTCTTACAAGATTAAGGGTGATCAAATCTTTCAAAACTTAGAACCCTCAAATCATATAATTTGTTAAATAGTATACTAACAGATCAAGTTCTCATTATCTATTCATCAGAGTTACCTGGAGTTCGTTGGGTGCTTCCTGATTCTTACTTGGATGTTAAGAACAAAGATTATGGAGGTAATTCTCTTAACAGTTACATTCTTCACTTTGAATCTTGAATTATAATGCTGTATTTTTTTTTATCATTTTAGGTGAACCATTTATTGATGGAAAAGCTGTTCCCTATGATCCAAAGTACCATGAAGAGTGGATTAGAAACAATGCTCGTGCCAATGAGAGGAACAGGAGGAATGACAGGCCTCGCAACTTTGACCGGTCAAGAAATTTCGAAAGAAGAAGAGAGAACATGCAGAGCAACCGTGGGCCACCAGTTATGGGCGGTTCACCACCACCCATGGGCGGCCCACCACCACCACCTAACTACTTGGGTAGCCCACCGCCCAGCAACATGGGTGGACCACCACCCAATATGGGAGGTGGCCCACCACCCAATAACATGGGAGGAGGTCCACCACCTAGTAACATGGGGTATGGAGGTCCTCAGTCCAATAACAACTGGAATGGACCACCGCCACCATACAATGGAGGGCCGCCAAACATGGGAGGAGGAATGAGGCCGCCACCGCCGCCTCCTAATTACCAGCAGCAGGGAGGATGGAATGGGCAGAACAATGGAGGACAAGGGTATCAATCTGGAGGAGGGCAAAATAGTAATTATCCTCCTCCTCCTCCACCACCGAATGTAGGTGGTGGGAATCCATACCAGAATCAGGATGTACCTGGGAGAGACATGCCTATGCCTCCTGCAGCCAACTATTAATAATGGAATGGGAATGGCTGATTCCATTCCTGTGTTTTGATTGTGGTTTGGCTAATGAGAAATGGTAGTTTGGTTGAAAAGGTTTTTGTCACAGACTTGAGGTATCATCTGGCTTATGGGAATATTGTATAGATTAGTGACAATCATGATGGGTCTATTTATGCTGCATTTATAGTTATGAACCTATTTATTTATGTGATGTGGATTTATTTAAATTATGCTATTGCAGCTATTAGCTTTATCTGGATTTTGTGATTTTGTGTCACATTTGTGTCTGGTTTCTTTGATCTTGTACTACGTTACATTAGTGCCAAATTATTGTTTGTGTTCATGATACTATTCTAATCTCACCTTAGTATGTTTGACTGTGAAGGATTTGTAAATCTTATATTTATTTGCGAAGGGTAATGTAGAACATGTGTGAGCCCCTTCTAATGAAGAAATAAAATCAACAACGAATTGGTTTATCGGACAAGTGTGAAGTGTTTGAGATTATTTAGTTGAAGTAGTTATTGATTTATTAAAATCTGCCATTGGTAATAAACTTATTTTAAATGTTAGATACAAGAATATCAAAACCATTTATTGATTTAGTTTTTTACAAGTTACTTCATTCTTATTGATTTAAATAAAGTGTTTTTGATACTCTTATTCAATTGAACATTAAATAGGCGTTATCATATACTAAAAATAACTAATAAGATTATTACTTTTTTTGTTTTCGTACCGGATAAGTTAATCATGACAATTTTTAAACTCCGTTTTAACCCAATTTGCTAACTAACAGTTTTATTAAAAAAAAATTAACTTGTTTTAAATAAGCATATCTCAAACACTCCCTATATCTTATATCTTAATACAGTGTTGTAGAACAAGCACAAGCTGTCTTTCTTTTCTAGAATGAATATAATTAGGCTATATCACAATTTAATGACAATTTATCCTCACTTTTCAAAAAAAAAAAAAAAAAAAAAACAAATTTCATAATATTCATCAATTTTAATTAGAAAAGTTGGATAAAATAGAAAAGAAACAACCGGTCATATCTATCAAGATTAAATGTTTAACAAAATGATGCCTAGATTTGAACCTAACACCACACCTAGATAGATATGTGTAAACAAAATATTTGAAGTTTTCATGTTTGTTCAAAGGGATATTGCCATAAAAACCCTTATATTTACATAAAATATGTGGTTATGTCTTAATACCCTACATTTGTTAGAAAATCGGGGTATAGTATTACTTGGATCAATGAGAGTTGTGAAACACTTTCATATTAAAGCATTTCGAGGGTACACTCGAAAATCTCTAATCAGATAAAACTAATTGTTTATGTTATGAAGATATGTACCCAAGAAGATTTCGAAATTAATCATACAATAGGGAACTAACCTCCTCTCTTAAAACTGACATATGATAGTTACAAACAACTTCTTGTCAAAAAAACAAGCTTGACCCAGTCAGAGACACTGCCCCTTGGACCCCGCTAGGGACTGCCGTCCCTTGGACTTCGCTTCCAGGGGCGCTGCCCCCGACAATTTAGGGGCTTCGCCCCTAAATAGCACTATACTTTTAACAAATACAAAATTAAACAAAACGTACACGCTTCCAGGGGTGCTGCCCCCAGACCCCCGTCAGTTTAGGGGCTTCGCCCCTAAATAGCACTCTACTAATAACAAATACAAAATTAAACAAAATGTACACTCTACGCCAATCACCATACTAATTTGTTCAATAATTGTCAAAGTGACATTGATCAACAAATTAACTAATTACATTTAAATAATATTAGTGATATAAAATCACCAATAATATTTTGGACAATTTTTGCCACTTACGCTTTTTATCAGGTTACATGTAGGTAGTAGGTCACCTAGACATTGTAACACAAAGCAATCACCATCACATGTGGGTAGCTGACCAATACCACTACCACCTTCAGGAGGAGCCGTCTCCAACACCATCTTCAATAACCTCTTTGCCTTCACTACCATCCCCTTGGATGAAACCCTAGCTGCCTCCATTGAAAGAAGAACTCTGGCATTAAAGGAAGCTCTGAATGGTACGAAGTGTGTCGATTTCATGGTTTATGTTCATATTTCTCTCCTTTGGGCGTGTATGTAACAACAATAGAGTACACCCCCTTCCCGTCTTGTTTGTTTCACACCCTTCTTTTCTTTTTCTGAATCGAATTGCACCGCAACCTCTTCGATTCAGATTGGGCTATAGTGATGGTAATAAAATTGTGTATGAACAGATCAAAGAGAAGATGATGGCAGCTAGAATGTTGATTATTAAAGGTTTATGGAGGTGGGTGAACAATGGCTTTAAAGGAGGTTAAGGGTGATGTTAAGGTGTTTGTGTAGTGGCTTCTACTGTTATTGGGTTGTGGTCTTTAAAAGGGTGTTAGAGGGTGGCGGAGGTAGGGATGGTGGTTGTTTCCGTGTGGTAAAGATTAGGTTGTAATGGTAGTGTTCCGAGGTGAAGAAGACGATGGCTGATCACAAAGGTGGTTAAGGGTTTTCGTGATGGAGGGATGGAGATGTTGGATGGACATTGGAGGTGGTGGTTTGTGTGTGTAGATTTCCCCCATGGTGGTCGACATGGTGGCAACTAGTGTCTTGATTTCAAGATATGGTGGGTTGTGGTGGCAGTCTGGCAGAGGCTAGCCGTAATAGACAATGTTATTTGTAATAAGAGAGGGTGATGGTGATGGTGATGATGTGTAAATATGAAAGAGCCTCTATGACAATAATGATGACCAGTTAAAATGGAAAAAAATACATAGGGAAATAGAAGCATTAATAAACATAAAAATAAAAATTAGGGCATAACGCACACATGTAAACATAAGGGCTTTTATAGCAACAATCCTTGTTCTAAAGCAAAAGGAGGATTCAAACCCCATTAATTTTGCAAGTTTAACAAAGTCGTCTCTGGCAAATATGGGATTTACGCATAATATCAAAATCTTTAAACTTATTGAAACTGTAACTAATTATGCTTAAAGAAAGAACAACAGAACATCTAATTCACTACTAACAAGCAAAACCCAAAACTATACATGTCATGGCTTGGCTACACTAGAGTTTTCATTTCCTCCAACTTAAACAACTTATGAGAGAGAAAAGGGAGGTGGGAGATAATACACAACGAATGAGCAAAAAAGCACAATTGCATTTGTGGTTTACCCAATCCAATCCAAATTCAAAACCTATTCGGCAACTTATATATTTTTTGTTGATTTTGATCGCATGGCCCACAATCCAACTCTTATATCATTACACCCTGCTTACTACTTTCTACTTGCTAATTAAAAAAAAAAAAGGCAAGGCACCATCTTTAATTACAAATCAACAATCAACAATCTCCGCCAATTAAAACTTTTTCTTTTTCTTTTTCTTTGTTAGGACTTAGGACACCTGTCAGTTGAGTTGTTGATGAAAATCTGCAAACAAACCAACCATCAAAACAAACAACAATTATTATTATTATTATTATTTTTTTTTTGTCAAAAACACATAACTGCAAATATCAAAAGATTAGTAACGTTGAAAAAAGATTCATCAAGTTGCCATCAAAGGTATCATATCAAACTAATAATTATATGCTATCGGGAAATGAACTCGAACAATTCCAATTCCGATTCTGATTCTGATTCCGTCGTAATTGCACATAAAACCGTCGGAATTGAATATTTCCAACTTTATATTTTCTTATATACTAAATGCAATATCATTTTTTTTTGAAATTTTTAAAATCAGTTTTGAAAGAGAGCTAATACGTGTGTGTGTGTGTTTGGCTTACCTTAATCTATGCCATTCAACTTGTAGGTGAATGACCTGCATCCGATCCATCTTCAGATGAACTATCACTATCTGAATCTGCATAATCATAATCATATTCATATCATATCATATCAAACAAACATTACAGCAAAAACAACTCAAACTGTTGATTATTACAACTTAAAAATCAAATTAATTTAAAAACTTACCACTTGAAGATGATCCAGAATCACTACTAGAACTGCTTGAACTACTAGACCTACTACTTCCAGGACCCCCACTTCCAGCAATGCTCTTCTCACCTCCTTAAACACCACAACACCATCATTTAACAAACATTCACAATTTAATATCAAATCAATAACATCATTCATTCTTAGATAGATAAAGTTAAAGATAAAAATAAAGATTTAAGATAGAGATAAAGATAATCTTACTTGTTTTATTATTTTCTTTTGGGGCCTCCATAGTGGATGTCACAGGGTTAGGGTTCTGCATTTTCGTTTTAACAATAACATAAAACATCTAAAAATGTAAAATTTGGGGGGATAAAAAGAAAAGGAGATGTATGAAAGATATAATCTTACTTGTAACACAGTCCGATTAGCTTGTTGAGCAAGTTCAGCTCTCCTTCTGTGTTTACTCAAACTCTTTTTGTAATTTGTGACAAACCTATCGAGTTCCCATAGAGTTTCTATATCAACACTATCGATATCAACTTCAATCTCATCATCATGTTGAGAAAGTGAAGTGTTCTTCTTTTTGATGATTTGGACAATGTTGTCGAGCTTTTCGGAAGGGAGGCTTTGAAGATTTGTACTCAGTTTTTGCTTCTCTTCATATGTCATGTTCCTCTTGTTGGGATCTTTAGCTTTGGGTTTCTTGGGTGCTGGTGTCCTACTTGGAGGGGCAATTTTGGGTTTTGGCCGATTCATGAAAGGTAAAGACATGGATTCTGACCTGTACAGTGTTCTTGATGGAGCATGTGAAAAATGAGGAGCTTTTCTTGAAGTGGGTGTTCTGCTTGTTGGAGTTGGAGTGTTTGCATCATAAATCATTCCATATCTCCAATCTGGGTTTGATTCGGATTCAATCACTGACCACCTTTCTTCAAATATATTTGATAATTGTTCTGCCATAACATGTACATCTTGTCCTTTTGGATTATATGTCATGGCGTTGTAAAAAGTCAGCCTCACATCCTCTGCAAACTCCATTGGAGACTTGTAGAAGTTTTGAGCAAGTCGACTCTTAATTGTGCCAAAATCCATCGGGTGTTTGATTATGTCATGGTAATCATGGAGTCCAAGAAGCTTTGCATTAACAGGTTCGTTAAACACCCAACCATGTTTGTGCTTCATCAACCTCTGAAGCAAATTGTTGCAGCTCTTGAACATCTGATTCCTGTGTCTTTCATGTCCAGAAGAATAATCTGATTCCTTGCTGTGTTTTCTTCCGCCATTAGCTTTCTGCCTCTTGTTGGTTTCAGGTGGTAATCTGTCTTTTCCAAGAAGGAAATCGGAATTCCTGTAATACTGATTAGCCTTTGGTGTCCTTTTTTCTTTTTCAACAAACTCACCGACTCCATGGTTGTTGTTATCCACAACTGATACATTTAGTTGCCTAAAAGGCCTCAGGTCAGTATTGGGAGCAGAACCCATATCAGAATTCAGTCTCATCAAGGCTCTCCTGTCCACAAAATCAGTACCCATTTCTGAATTCACTCTGAGCAAAGCTCTCCTCTCGATGATATCATTACCTGAATACTGTGAATGACTGTAAGTTTCAACGTCGGCAGGAACAGCAAGAACAGCGGAGAAGGTGGTTAGCTCAGCTTCTTTATCTTCGAGTTTCTGAGATACACGTCGGACATGATTAAGCTCGGCTCTCAGCTTCTCTCTAAGCTCGATAATCTCATTCTTAGACTTCGCCGCTTTTAAATTAATCTTAACCCGATCGCCGACAATAACAACAACCGGTTTTATCACACCGTTACCGGTGGGCCGATTTGGGGACACGGCAATTTGAACCGAATGATCATCTGATACCTCTACTACCGGCGATAGAGTATGTTGATGTTCCGAATTCGCGTCTTCAGTAGCTAGATTTTGCTCGTTGTTTGTGGCGGTGGGTGGAGAAGCTGGATTGGATGTGTTGGTTCTGGTAGTAGGCGGAGATGTAGCGGCGACGGTGACGGTGTCGGTGGCGGTTGGGGAGGAGGGGGCAGCGGCGGTGGTGTTCTTGGCGATCCTTTTGAATCTTCTCGTGTAGACTTTATTACCCTCTCCCCACTTACTCTTTCCTTTGCTTATCTTGTCCGCATCTAATATCCCTGAAGCCATACATATACGAACACCCCCGCCGGCCGCCCCGGAGAACGCTATAACAAAAATCGCAATCGAAAAAGAAAATTCAGAAAAATTTAAATCCGATTTCTTCAGAAACGAAGAAATCGAATCCGATCAACGAGGCTAGGGTTCAAACCGACGAAGAAACGGGATTATGATTTAATCAAACACTAGAATTTCAAACCTTCTAAATTCAAGCCCTAGAATTCCAAAAAATCCGACCATAACATCAGATCTGGGACAAAATCGTTCGATTCAATGGGAAACAGAGATCAAAATCGGTACGGAACTAGGGTTTTCAACGGGTATGATGATCTACCTAATCTGGAACGAAAGAGGGAAAAGAAAATCAAAAAAAATTTTAAAAAAATAAAAATAAAATAGAAAATTAGAACATTAGAAAAAAAATTAAAAATTAGGGTTTGGAGTTCTTGGGGAACCGAAAATCAAACAACGATTCAGAAGGGAGTAATCGATCCGAACTCTGCTCTCTTGCTGATGAAGCGTTAGTGGGGGATTGTGAATTTGGGAAGAGTCACGCGCTTGTGTTTGCGATTGACCAAAGACGATGAACTGTTCTTTCTGCATCAGCTTAAAGGCATTGTTTATGTGGTTTTTATGTTTTTGTAGACGCGCCTTTCGATGGAAATTGGGGGTTTTCTGCCACGTACACACATTCGAGAGGTAAGTTGCAGGAATGGTCCTTCCACTATTGTCTCTTTATATTGTGTTCACAAGAAAAAAAATGCTTTACAAAATCAGCCTTTTCTATTATTGTCGGTTTGGTAAAAGTTATACTCATAGGGCATTCATTCTTCAGCGAAAATCCATTTTGGTGTAATTTAATTCAATCAACATCATTTTCAAATTAAATGTGATGTTAAGAATAGTGTAATATAAAATATAATGTTACTATTTATTTATATCAAATGGGGTGGTCAAATTTTGTATGTGTATTTGTGGGGAAATATTTAGAAAAATTCTTATACTTTTGCACTATTAACGAAAAAATAATTCTTGATTTTTTTTAATAATTAAGCCCAGAACGGTAAATGTTTGTAAAATATGTCATGTATGCTGTTAACGTTTGCATTTATCACAAATCATGATTTTTTTTTTTTTTTTTTTTTTTTTTTTTTGTTATTAAAGTTAAAAGACTTTTGTGACGATTTCCTGATTAAAATATATTAAACAAAGGTTGTCAAGATTGGGATCCTACCTAGGATCGTTTTTGGGTTTGCAAAATCGGAATCGTAAGATCGGGATCGAAATCCTAAGATCCCACAAAATAGAATATAATTTTAATTTATAATATTAATCATAAAAAATATTTCAAACATTTAATTTTTCGTTCAAAAATTATAAAAACTTTAAAATATTAGTCATAAGTCACAATAAAAATGATAAATGGTAGATTGGTAAAGGGTAAAAGACATAAAATGGTAAAAAAAATTCATTTGGAAAAAAAAAAAATTAAAGGAAGGTAGGATCGGATCGGATGTCGATCCTACGATCTTACGATCCTACCTGCGATCCTACCCAAAATACGATCCTTTTACGATCAAGATCGTTTTTCATACGTAGGATCGTAGGATCGTACGATCCTATGATCAGGATCGCGATTTTGACAACCATGTATTAAACGGTTGCAAGTAATTTCAAATTATTTCACTAACCTTTTATCTTGATAAAAAATATATATAATTAAAAATTTATTTTGTTTATCCGGTTTAGAGGTGGCAAAAATTAACACGACACGAAACCCGACACGAACCCGACACGAAATAAATGTGTTTGGGTAAGATATTTCAACCCGTTTAAATAAACGGGTTGACACGACACGACACGACACGAAAATTAAATGGGTAAGGTTAGGGTTGAGAATTTCAACTCGAATATGACCCGAAAATGACCCGTTTATTTATATGCAAGTTTTTTTGAATTATTTAAATAAACTAGAAAGATACAAAACCAAACCCATAAGTAAAAGAAAACATTCGAATTGAATTGTTTTGTAATGTTGAAATGATTTAGCCGTCTAGATCAAGACTTCATTTTAGTTTTTCCATTCTCTCCCAAACTACCCAGTCTCTTTCACCACTCTCACATCCTAGTGACCTTGTCATCCGCATCCCAAAATTTCAATCTTTTAATTTTGTCATCTAAACTTGCTATGACTTCATCTATTATGCCTCCAGACTATTAGTTTTACCTTTCCGCCTACCCAACTCCTACTCTTTCAACATGCTCAATCTTTTAACCTTACATGACACGATATATTTCAAGGTATAGCCGTAACCCGAAACCTGACACGAACTCGACACGAAAATAAACGGGTTGACACGACACGACACGTTAATTAAATGGGCCGGGTTAGGGTCAAGCACTTTCAACCCGTTTAGTGTTTCGACACGACACGAACCCGACACGACACGATACGATTGCCACCTCTAATCCGGTTAACCAAACCGAAAAACTAAATCTTCTTTCGTTTGATTGTAGTTAGTTTCAAAGTTATATTAAAAACTAAATAAACATAATCAAATAAACAAAAATCCGATTACCCATGTATGCTATACTTTCAATATGACATTCGGGGGTTAACATGTCAAATAGCCGATAATTAGTATCTATAATAGAATAGATTTGTAGTAATAAAAATTTTGAGTGGGATTAGATATAAAAAAAGAAGCCAACTAAAATTGTTTTTAGTAAAGTGTATCTAATATGTGTTTTTTATAAGTATTATAGCTCTTATAACATTCTTTAAAACTATTTAACCGTGTTGACATTTAAATTATGTATTGTAGAACAACTTGACATTCACTTGATCATTTTTAAAAAGTTGAAACTCATTCCATTGTCATTCTTCACACCTAAGTCACCGTATTTATACCTAATACCTGAAAATTCAACTGTAACACCGTAAAATTTAAAATAAAATTTCGCATTTTTAAACACATTTTTCCAAACACATTTATTAACAAAATCTCATTATATCATAACTTTGTTTCACAAAATATTCACCAAGATCAAATACATAAATCGCATGCGTGTGTATGAATCATGTCGGCGCCTTCCCGCGATCATCACTGGTACCTGAAACACATAACACATAACACTGTAAGCATAAAGCTTAGTGAGTTCCCCAAAATACCATACATAACACATACTAGCCACTCGAGGCTATAACTCTGTGGGCCCGTGGGTCCAAACTCTGTGGACCCTCTGGTCCTAGCTTTGTGAACCTTCCGATTCTAACTCTGATATACTCTAATATACACATGACATAAATCACATAGAAATAATGCAGTACAACACATCACATAATAGCATACAGTAACTCTGTCACATGACTCTAATTACCACTCAAGGTAAAGTATAGTGAGAAGACTCACCTCAGATATCTCGGTAAATCTCTGACTCGGTAGAAATACGATCTAGCCTCCACCTAATCACGTAAAGTAATACTCTCATAAATATAACTCTCAGGACTAGACTCAACCCTCTCTAGGCACCCTCAGAAGGGTAAAAGACCATTTTACCCTCCTTTGGCTCAAAGACCCTCATTGTTGACTAAACCCTAAAAGTCAACCAAAGTCAACGGTCAAACTTTGACCCGACTCGTCGAGTGCACTTGGGCAACTCGGCGAGTCTGCACGTGTCCACTAACTCCCTAGTCTCGCTTGGCATGTCGAGTCCCTCCCCTTGCTCGACGAGTCACACCTGGCATGAATCGCGGGGCTACCCCGACTCAACTCGCCGAGTCTCAAGATCAACTCGGCGAGTTCCGTCTTGAACTCCAATCCTCTAATCCCTCTCTGACTTACTGAGTTAGTCCCCCAACTCGGTGAGTCTACTCGCTGAGTGATTTACGGGAAACCCTAACCCTACTCGCTGAGTCTGATCTTTGGACTCAGCGAGTTCATGCCATGCAAAAACTCCATTGACCTCCTGAGGTCAGATCTGTTCCTTAAATCCATAGATCTGACCTTCCCAAGCATGATAATCACGTAAAGTTCAAACCTTGACACTCATATAACATCTAGATGGTCTTACTTGGTGATTTAGCCCCAAAAATAAACTTCTAAGTTCATGGCTCCCAAAATAACCCATAAAGATCCAAGGGTTAAGGTCTCTGGACCTCTTTGAGTCCAGATCCAAAGCATAAACTCGAGAAGGGACTAATTGCTCCACATATCCATTCTCTAAAGGGGGTTAGAAAACCCTAACTTTAAGAATCAACACCAAAAATGAAGAAGGTTTGAATAAATACCTCAAGATGAAGTCTCTGAACTCTAAAATCACCAGATCTGCTCCTCCTTCAGCCTCCTCTTGCCTTGGTCACCTCCTTTTTGAAATCACACCAACAAAATGATCAAAAGTGTCCTCTCCTCCCTCACAAACGCTCTAGATCTCTTAGGGTCTCTTTCTGGGGTTTGGTAGCCGCAAATGACGGCCCTAAGGGCCTTTAAATAGGTCCCAAACCCGGGAAATTAGGGTTTCATTAAACAGCGTGGACTCGACGAGTCCACTCATGGACTCGCCGAGTCCGTTCATGAACCCGGATGAGAATCCGCGACCCTACTCGGTGAGTCCAAGCACCAACTCGCCGAGTCCCTCTACAAACTCCAAAATAAATGAATAAAATAATATACCTGGGAATCCGGATGTTACATCAACAATAAAGGTAACATAAATGACAACTGTATTCGTGTAACAACTATATGATATCTTATTTATACATGCAAGAAGATCGGTTAGAATGATAGATGGAAGATGAAAGATTGTCAATAACCAACCAAATATAACTCGTAACTACAACCTACCAAATATAACAATACGTTTGTAACGACCCAAATTTCAAGGCCAAAAATTTCATTTTTAAATTAACGCATTTAGCAAACATTTTACCAAAACATTGTCAATAAAACATTCATTACAAAATCATAATGCTGTATTTCAAACCATACATCATAAGTATTGAAAATCAGAGTACAGTCCCAAAAACTTATTGCGGAAACATGTGTGTGTGTGTGATGCGCTGCTACACCGCCGACTCTTTCCCCTTCGACGAAGAGGTACCTGAAACCAAAACCAAAACTGTAAGCATGAAGCTTAGTGAGTTCCCCTATCATACCACATACCATACAATATCGTCGGTATCTTTCAACCGGTAACCTTCATCGATATCTTTCAACCGGTAACCTTCATCGGTATCTTTCAACCGGAAATCAACATCGGTGTCTTTCAACCGGTAACTAAGGACTATTTCACCCCCTACTACTAGCATACAATCAACAGATATAAGCATACAGTCAAACATATCTGGGTACTGACCTACCCTTGGGTCCTAAGGACCACTATCAGGGAAACTAATCCCTACCATACACATAACATACTACTCAGATAAACCTTATAACCAACACATAACCAGACCAAGATAATTATCACAAAAACCATTATCTTCTAAATACCCCTTTTTGGTGGGCCGACATTGTGGCCTTAGACCCACCCCTACTGGAAAGTAACTCACCTCAATGTCGTGCAGTGTCTGAACTATCCTCGGCGCACAAGTTGTTGGATTAGTGTCTAAGTCCATAACTATTTTGGTATGTACTTGACCCGATGGTGCATGGTCCTTTTGGGTTGCCTTCACCAAAGCAACTTGATTGGA